TCACACTGAACATACTTAACAGCTTATCCAGAATGCTGCCTTTCTGGTTATCCATCAAGTATGCAAGTCATGTGGTTACAGGCGGGCTCTCACAGGCACCTCACGCTTCTACGTGTTTGCTTCTTCTTTTCTCTGACGTTCTGGGGAATGTGTACTCTATTTTCTAAAACATTCCACTGGGGTTTGACACTTGAATTTTCTATATAATTGAGCTTAAAATCAAGAACAAAACAACAGAGAGGTCAATAAGCACAGCTGCTTGTTGTGGTGGTGGGCTGATGTCAAGCTCCCTCCCAATGTCAGCTGTCTCCCCATTCTGAGTTTATTAGTACTGCATCCCAACTTACCTCCCATCTGCACCTTGAACTTTATGCCTACACTGTTCTCTGGAACCACAAGTAGGGCAGTCCCTGTATCCACAGCCTGCAAACCACAAATAGCTTATTCTCCAGGGGGCGATGGAACCTAGACAACTTCATTTCCTCCCCTTCTACTGCCTTGTGTTCCAGTGTGTACATTCCTATGTGGCTACACATGACTGCCCACTCTGTTTAACAGTCTTGTATCTGTGTCTCTGTCAATATTCCATGTCCTACTATAGAGTAATTTCTTTTTTGCACTCAGTTCTACTGTAAAGCAATTAGAAAAATGTCCTAGCCCTGAATTTTCTAAAGTGTTAGATTTGTTACAACTTGAAAGAATCACACTGTTAAAGAAAAGAAAGATAATATGACATTTCTACTTCAATACATTCAAGTAACCTAAATGTCAAAAGGAAGATTACGTTTCTTAGACATTGATTTATCACAATTTTTTTTACCTTAGTATTTTACATTTTATTCTTGTTTAAATATGTTTTATCTGTTGCTTCGAACCTCGATATCTTTTTCCTTGTTTTTCTTACTCCTTTGGGAGTGTCTAGGTGTGATGTGTGTAGGGAGGGAAGTCAGAGGACAACTTTCAACTTTTCCTTCTATCTTAAGGCCTGGTACTTGACCTGAGGTCCTCATATTTGCATAGCAAACACATCTACTGAGGAATTGAGGCCCATTTCCAGCACTTCCTCAATAGTTTTGTGAACTGAATTATTAACAGCAGATGGAATATAAACAATTTAATTAAATAACTAAAAATTTCAATTAAATACTGAATTTAAAAGATTAATTTTCTAGCTAAGGTTGGTGGTACTGCTTTAACCCCAGGTTCCAGGAGACAGGGACAGGAGGAGCTCTGTGAGTTAGAGATTAGCATGGTTGACACAGTGAGTTATAGATCAACAAGAGCTGCAGAGTGAGATCCTGTCTCAAAGAAATTAGTTTCCTAGTCAATGACACCTCACTGTCTTTGTGCATAATGTGACTGCATGCTGGCCTCCTGGCCATTCAACAAAGACTGACTTTATAGCAGAAATTCTAACCACTCAGACTTCTAGAATGTGAGCTTGGAAATGTTCTCAGTCGCTTCTAGCATTGTGTATTGGGAAGGGTTTGCATAGTGTATCATAAGCAATTTAGGGAAATACTGGTTAATCAATGAGACAGGACAGTCTGGAAAAACATCATGGAACATAAGAGCCAGAATATAGCTAAGAATTTGTGCTCTTACTGAAGAGTAGGACATTTTCCTAGATATTGTGAAGCTGGAATTTTAATATTCAGTATTGGAGACAGTTGACAGGGAAATTCTGGGAGTAGGGGCGAGCATATAACTAGAAAAATCTATTTTTCTAATATAAAGAAGGTGGTTATATATTTATAACAAAAGACTTAGTGACAGTGGTATTTCTGATCCTCTGTATGTGGAGAGGGACTTACGTGCACCAACAGTGCAGTGTATCTGCACATTTGCATGAACATGTTTGCACATGAGTGAGGGGTATTGCTGATCCTCTGGAGAGGACTTGTGTGCACCAACAGTGCAGTGTATTTGCACGTTTGTATGATCATGCTTGTGCATGAGTGGAGGGTATTGCTGATCATCTGGAGAGGGCTTGTGTGCACTAATAGAGCAGTGTATCTGCACATTTGCATGAACATGCTTGCGCATGTGTGGAGGCTGGGGGTCAATTTCCGGTATCTTTTCATTCGCTCTGCACCTCATTCATTGGGACAAGGTCTCTCACTGAACCTGCAGCTCACTGATTCAGCTAGCCTGGGTGATCAGCGGGCTCCAGGGATGCACATGATTCCACCTCCTTGGGATCACAGATGTTCGCTACCAAACCTGGTATTTACATGTGTACTGAGGATACAGATATGGATCCTTGTGCTTGAGGAGAAAGCACTTCCATAGCAAAGCCCTTTCTTCAGCACTCTGAGCTTTTATTTTGACTTAGTTTTTCCATTTATTTATTTTCACCAGCAAGGATATTTAACCATGGATTTCACTTTCACGTTTCTGGATGGTATGGTTTTCCCTTAATAAATGTTTCCTAATACAAAAATGCAACCAAAACAAACATCTGTTCCTCACAACATAGAAAAGCCTCATTGGATGTGACTCAAAATGTACTCCTAAGACAGCACCGCAGAGTGAGCATGACAGTTGAGAAGCCCATCTTTGCTGACAGGACTTTGTGATGTGGTTTACCAAACTGAAACGTGGTAAAAATCCACTAGTGTAGAGACATGGCCACAGGTATCATCCCTCAGTTCAACATGTTAGAAGCTCATTTATAATATATGAGGATAGCTTTTCAAAATGTGGTGGTACAAGCCTTTTATCCCAGCACTCCAGTGGCAGAAACAGGTGTGTCTCTGAGCGCTCAAGGCCATCCTGGTCTACACAGAAACTTCCATGACAACTAGAGATACATAACAGTGAGATCATGTCTCAGAAGGAAAAGATGGAGAAGAAGAAAGAGGAGAAAAAGGAGAAGGAGGAAGAGGAAAGAAAGTGAAAAAGACAGATAGGAAAGAAGGAAGGAAGGAAAGAAGGAAGGAAGGAAAAAAGGAAGGAAGGAAAAAAGGAAGGAAGGAAGGAAGGAAGGAAGGAAGGAAGGAAGGAAGGAAGGAAGGAAGGAAGGAAGGAAAACATTCAACACTGCTATTGAGGTAGCTGAGAGGGTTCAATACTGAGATAGCCTAGGTGTTAGATCCTGGTGTTTTAGCTTCGAGTGACATTGAACTAGATCTGTGTACTACACAGCAATTTGTGGGTTAATCAGCCTTAAAGAATCATTCTTATATGAAAGAGGTTATCAACATATGCTTTACAGCCATGAATTGTGACCATGTTTACCAGTTATATAGTACGCCCCTCCCTCTCCTTTCTGCTCTCCCTCTCCCCACCCTTCCACTCCACTCATGTGTGTCTATGTGTAAGTGTCTCTCTACAGTGGCACTGCTAATGTTTAAGGAATTCGAAGCAGTTGTAACTTATGTTTCAAGGACATGTTCTAAGTCCTGCTCTCTGGAAATCAGTAACAGTACTCCACACTCTCACCCAAGTTCTCAGACCAAAACACAAAATGTCTTTAGATATTGCCAGTCTCTTAGTGGAGGTGTAAGAGTCTAGAGTTGTGGAGCACCGGTGAACAGTAATCTTTTTAAAGGGAGGCTGTGAAAAGTTTCATAATGGCGAGACACAATTGTAACAATAAATTAAAAGCTCGTTTTATTAAAGACTATGAAAACATTCATGAGTGTGTTTGTGAAGGTATAAGGTAATGACGTGCTGCAAGAGCCATTCTTAACTGTTGTTGTCAGTTCCCCAAAAACATGGTTAAGGCTCTGGTAAAATGGACTGTGTGGTCTTTAATTTTTTATTCTGGCCCAGTTTTCAACTGCATCATATATATACAGAATGGTGATTTATCAAAGGTATTGGAACAGAAGAAATGGTGCAGTAGTTAAGAGCACTTGCTGCTCTTGCATAGGACTGGAGTTTGATTTCAAGTATCCAAATGAGGCAACTCACAACCACCTGTAACTTTGGTTTCAGAGAATCTGATGCCTCTTTCTGGCCTCTCTAAGTATCCATATACATGAACATATATCACATACAGACATCTGATGCAAATACATTGAAAAACAAAATGAAATCATTTAAAAGAAATCTTGCCTAAATTATATAATCATCTGTACTCTGTATTCTACTTCACACCACTTAGATTCAGGAGACAAAACAATTTATTGTGTTCTTCTTACTGCTTTTCTAAGTTTGCATTTCATTCTTTCGCTGTGTTCACTTAGAGGTATGCCATGCAGATTTGCAGTTTTGTAGGAGGAACGCAGGCCCTGAGTTGATAATCTCTGTGAAGGTCTCTATCACTGTGCAGAATTCTGTTCTCCCTTGGTGCCTTCTGACCTGCAGCTACAGATATCTACAATAAAACCCTTCCAAGCTCTACTGTTTAGGTCAGATTACTGCCTTGGGTAAGGCAGAAGTCTAAAACAAACTCGCAGGAGGTCTTCAGAGCCTCACTACCTTGTTTTGCTTTAGTGACAGTCTTTTTTTTTTTTTTTTTGCTTTTTCAAGACAGGCTTAAGCTGATTTAGGAATAGCTTCATTAGCCTTTTCTCACTTTCTGGGTGACTTTGGTTAGATATAATCTGGACTTCATTGTCTATGTATAATATTAAACTAGTGTTATATATCATGGGATCATGTGAAATTGAAAAAATTAAGATAAGCAAAAAGTCCTTGTTGAAATAGGAGCGGCAGGGCTGCGTCCCCGGCACCAGGCCGCCCACATGGCTAGCTTATGTCCGAAATAATTACACGAAAACTGTATTCTTTCAAACACTGCCTGGCCCGGCTAGTTCCAGTTTCTTACTGGTTAGCTCTTACATATTGTTCTAACCCATTTCTAATATTCTGTGTAGCCCACGATCTGGCTTACCAGGGAGGATCTTAACCTGCGTCTGTCTGGAGTGGGAGAATCATGGCGACTCCTCTACTAAGCTTCTTTTTCCCAGCATTCTCTTCTGTCTACTCCGCCTACCTAATTTTCTGTCCTATGAGGGCCAAGGCAGTTTCTTTATTATTACAAGACCCACCTCCATCATTTCCCCTTTTTCTGTTTAAACAAAAAAGAAAGGCTTTAACTTTAACATAGTAAAATTACATATAACAAAACAGTTATCAAGTAAGAATTACAGTTACAATATTTATATCTACTTTATCTTTTATCATAACTAAGGAAAACTATAACTATTCATTCTTCAACTCCATCAAAGACTCCAGAAGGATATAATA